ATTTTTAGCATAGCAGTATAGTCATAGGCTTTCAGTACAGCATTCCACAGATGTGATAGTGCTTTGTTGTAATACAGGCTTTATTCTATATGTCTTTGACCAACTGTAGGATATTGTTAAGTGTTCTGAGTATGTTTAAGGTAAGCTATGATGTTCATCTACAATGGTTCAGTTGACTTAATTACATTTTTTGACATATTTTCCACTCTCAGTGGGATTTAGGGCATGACCCCATTGAAAATTGAGGAGTGCCATACTGCTGATTGCTTCTGGGCCTGGGTCAAAAGGTTTTGTTCCTTTACATGTCTCATAACTTTTTCTTAATAGAAAAACAGCAAAAGAAAATAAAAACCCTGGATATTTTGAATGATTTAATTTGGCCACTCTCAATCAGATTCTTTAATCTTCCCAGAGTTTGTTGTCGCTGTTACTGTGGTTTGCTTAGTAACACTCTGAACTTGTTTTGTACCATCTGTATTCTGTTGTATGTGGTCACAGAAGTTTCTGCTCACTTGGTTTAATTGCCAGCTAATGATTGAACAGAGATTAAATGCCTGGAACCAGTTAGACCCAGACTCTGACAATGGGCTCTGTGAATGTGATAGTCTTTAATGCTGTGCCATTTCCTTTCTTCCTTGAGCTCTGAGGTGGGCCACAGGGCAGAGCTTATAGTCTTCCTCAGGTCTTTCCTCTGCACACTCACATCTGTGGCTATGGAAATTAATAACATACATGCAGCCTCCTAGATTACCAGGGATATGTGTAGCTTTTCAAAGTCTCCAGGGATATCATATTCCTCACTTGCCAGCCTGTTGTTTGCTGTGATGTCAAATGCTTGCTTTAACAAGGTGAACAACAGCAATAAAAGTACCACACACACAAAATAAAAATAAAAACAAAAGACAACTTCTCAGAATACACGGCTCTCACCTCAAAAGGGATAAGAATTTGTTATCCTGAATATGAGTAACCATGGCATGTGAACATGGATTTAAGTTATCCTAAATTCTGTGTTCCAATGCAGAACCAATGTTATAAAGTTTTAACAGTAACAGAACAAAGAGAGTCATAAATAAAACCCCCTTTTAAAATACATTGGTGTGAACATCAAGAGGGGAGGTTATATTGATTTGGGGAAACCTTGACTACAAACTTCAGATACTATTTAATGACCTCTTAGCTTTTGGGTTGGTGGAAGATAGTAGTCTCTTTAGTTAATGTATCTCTAAATGTTTCATGCAGTAGTCTCAAGGATGTTAGGTCAGACACAGAGGTGAGTACTGAATGGCTATGAAGGTGCTAGGTAGTCCAAGAATCTGAGTCTGGATCTGCAACAAAATTTCTCTACAGTTGCTGAAATTCTCATCAGCCCTCAGCCTATTGGGTTCAGCTTCTTCCTGGGAACTTCAGTTTACAGCCTCTAATGTGTTTTTGTCAAATGCTCTGTGCAGGGTAAGTTTCACACTGGTCAAATAATGACAGCCTTGCAAGTGGGTCTTTTGGGTAATCACTAGACAGGTTGAATGATGGTGGTTTTCTGGGAATGAAACTTAGAAGGAGCCCACTCTGTGCACTGTGACGGCTGCCAGGCTGCTGGCTTCACAGTTCTGTGGGATGTTGATTTCCATTTTCAACTTAACTTGCAGAGCTGGAGATGGGCAGATTGGAGTAGACCAAATGAACTGACCATGAGTCTGACTATTCTTATGGAGATTCAGGCAGTTTTCTTAAAGAATTATTTTCTCAACTTGCAGTAAAACTTTCTCCAGTGTATAGAATTCTATAAAAAGTGACACTTAAATTTCAGCAAGTTTTCTTTATGGAGAAGAGAATACTTTAGAAAGCAACTTCTTTACTAATTTCAGTCTTTCTTTTGATCACACCTTGAGCTATGGATTTTTCTAATGCTGCCATTAATTAAGTAGATGGTAAAGTACTGTTTATATGAGCATATATATTGTGGCCATCATAACTAAGATTGCCATATTTCCTCAGATATTGTCATAAATAAATCTTTTAGTAGTGAGTAAGATAAGCTACCTTATTCTGTTTTTGTTTGCCACCTGTGCACACATGCACCCATTCACCTGGGTATTCTTGCACCCATACACCCATGCACCCATGTGCTCATACACCTGTGCATCCATGCATCCCGGCACCCCTATCCAGCCAGTCAGCCAGTCACTAAGTCAAGATTTTTTTTGGTATCTGCTACATCCAGATTTATCTAATAAAATTGAACACATTGGTAGTTAAAATATTTGAAAATAAGGACTTATGATTTATCTTGACTAAGGAATGAAATAAAAAACCTTGAGTTTTTTAGCTTACATATCTTAGAAAAATCTAATGTCACCTTGAGAATAAAGGTATTAACAGTTGAAGATTTAATAGAGTATGTAAAGTTGAAACAGAAAATGTTTTGAAATAGCATGTTGTAAGAGGAAGATTAGAAAATGATCAAATACAGGTCCTTCAATTTATGAACTCAAAATGAAACCAGTCTGTTGATGAATAAAATATTTTTTCTGGGTATAGAAAAGATATTACATATGAGATTCCAAGGAAATGAGATTCTAGACTGAGCTCTTTCCAAAGTCTGGGCAATTTATGTTTATTATATTATCTCACCTCCATGCTTTGTTTATATAGCAAAGTAAGAAAAATAATAAGCTATAAAAGAATCCCTCCCGAACTGTCAAGGGATAGCACTATTATTAATAAGAGTATATTTTTGTATTTATTGATTTTAAAGTCAGCATACAAAGAAATAGGTATCAATATGACATTTTTATACATTTATCTCATAATACTTTGTTCTTATTCAATCCCCTCCCCCATGGCCATCCCCACTGCTCTGTACCCATCTGTTGACCCTCTAGGTAGTAACTACCTACTGCTTTCATGTCACATGTATTCAATTGCTTCTTTCCTTTCTTCACATCCATCCTTTAAGATCTTCCCATTTCATGGTCTCCTTTCTTAGCTTATTATACATTCAAACTCACACATATAGTCAAAGACACACAGACATAGACACACAGATGAACACACACACACACACACACACACACACACACACACACACACACACTAAATTCCACATAGGAAAAAAATGTATTTGTCTGAATGTGACTTATTTTCCTTAACATAATGTTCTCCAGTTTTATCCATGTCTGATTTAATTTTTCCTTACAACTGAAAATTATATTTGTTTATCTACTCATCTGTAGGTAGATCTCAAGGCTGACTCCTTTTCTTAGCTATTGTGAACATTGCAACAACAAGTATGAATGTGTATGCATCAATGTAGTATGGTAATATATACCCAAGAATGGTCTAACTGGGTCATGTGGGAGTTCTATTTTCCTTTTTCGAGGAACCTTCACATAGAATTCTATAATGGCCAAACCAATTCACATTTCCATCAATAATATGTAAAGATACATCTTTTCTGTCATTATTGCCAGAATTAGTTGTCATTTGTTGTCTTGGTCACAGCCGTCCTGACTGGTGAAATGGAATGTCGTAGCAGTTTTCACTTACATTTGCTGGTGGCTGAGGAAGAATGTTGAACACATTTTTGGCAATCTATTGGTCACTTGTATGTTTTCTTTGGGGAACTGTCTATTCAGTTAATTAGGCCATTTACTGATTGGATAACTCAGGATGGTTTCAGAGTTTAATTTTGAAGTGCTCCAAAATTCAACGCATCTATGTTTATAATTACTGTGTCTTCCTGATATTTTTTCCATTCATTAATATGCAGTGGCATTCTTTATCTCTGCTGATTAATTTTGGCTTTCAGTTTACTTTACCAGATATCACAGTATCTATGCCAGTTGGCTTTTCACTTCCATTTCCTTGATAGATTGACTTTCATCTTTGGATCCTTTGTCTGCAGACGTTTTTGCCAGTGAGGTGTGTTTCTTGGAGACTCCAAACATCTGGATTTTGTATTTTAGTCCAGTTAGTTGCTGCATCCGAAGACATGCAGATGACTCATGAATTCGGGCCATTTACATTTAAGGTGATTATTGAGAGATATGTATAAATTCTTGTGGTTTTTGAGGACTTTTCTCTGTTTTTTTTTTTTTAAATTATTGTTTGATCTTTACTTTCTCCCCAATTCTTACTAGGGGTTTACTGGCTTATTGTGTTACAAACATGGCAGATTCCTTCCAGTTCTCACTTGTTCATTTATTTTTCTCATAAATTTGTTCTTTCCTGCGCAGGAGTGATTGAAATTCTTTCCCTCTGCTCTACATTTTATTCCTGAGAGAATCTTCTGCAGGGCTGACTGGGTTGGATGTCATGGACGCCCTTAGTTTGTGCTTACCTTGAAATATGTTTATTTTCTGTCAACTTAAAAAAGATTTATTTTTAGTATTTTAAAGTTTTGTGTGTGTATGTGTGTGCGTGCATGTGTGTGTGCGCGTGTGTGTGTGTGTGTGTGTGTGTGTGTGTGTGTGTGTGTGTGTTCAGGTGCCTGCAGGAGGCAGAAGTGATGTATCCTCCCAGAGCTGTAGCTACATGGATTTGTGAGCTGCCTGATGTGGGTGCTAGGAACCAAACTCTGGTCCTTTGCAAGAGCAGTGTATACTTTTGACTGCTAAGTCATTTCTCCAGCTCTTCTCTATCAGTTTTAAAAGATAGATTTGCTTGACATAGCAATGTCAGTTAGCTAGTGTTTACCTGAAGGACTTGTTATTTGCCTTCCATGGCTTTCTGGAGTTTAGGGTTGCTGACAAGAAATCTTACATTATTTTTATGCACTTGCATTTATAGATATGTAGGTGTTTTATCTCATAGCATTTAATAGAGTTTATTTGCTTAGTGGTTTTGTCATCTTGATCATATAGTGTGCTACAGAGAGGTTCTCTGGTCATACTTTTGGGTCCTAAATGCCTCTTGTGTTTGGAGGCCCATTTCTTTTTCTAGCTTTGAGGATTTTCTGCTATAATTTTGTTGAATGGATTTTCTATACATTTAGTTCATGTAATTATATGGTCTGCTTCTGGAATTTATGAATCATCCTGCACAGTGCACATGCTAGTCTTCACTGTTTTTCCAATTTTAATAAGCTGCCAAAGTGAACACAATAGCAGCATATCTTATACCAAAAGAAAGCATAAGATAATTAAAATGGAAATTAGTATTTAAAATGTAGACACTTTCACAATACTCTTTTATCTAGCTAAAACAAATTACTTTATGCTTGCATATGTGTTTATCTGTGTCCTTTGGGTAAGGGTAACTCGATTATTTCTTCTGAATGTTATGTTTTCTTTTGTATAATATAACTTTTCACTTGAAATTATAAATATTTACAATTATGAATAATCTGAATATTCTGGATGGATTACTGCACAGTATCTTAACATACCAGACCATCATAGTCTACTTTTGAAAGATCTATAGTTATTTTATTCATTAAAATGAATAAATGAATAATATTTATAGGAGCTCAATGATCATTCTTCAGTCATTTGTTTCTGTCTTTTTCCATGACTTCACTTTTGTTTAATGTATTGGGAAACAATTTCCAAGGTTACTTGATTAGAATATACTTTTGTTACATATATTATCTGATATAGGCACATGCTTTCTTCAGTGCTAAATTTTAGACATAGAGATGTGACAATTTGGCTTAAATGGCATAAACATGCTTGTGGTTCCATATTTTATATATTGCTTAGAGAATCAAACATTCTCATTACCTGTGTGTGTGTGGGGTATATTTTGTTTTGTTATGTTACTGGGTTACTAAGAGTTCAACCCAGGGCCTTATCTATGTTAGGGAACTGCTCCACCCCTGATTAACATCTCTAATCCCTTTATGGTTTTATTTTGAAATGAGATATTGCGGCGTAGCCCAGGCTTGCCTTGAACTTACACTTTTCCTATCTGAACTTCCTGAGTCCTGGCAGGGTGGGAAAATTCTGGATTTACATAGCATCAAGGAGTGAAGTGTGACAGAGGCCTTATTGGAAATTTGAGGGTAGAGGTATTCTCCAGTGTGTACACAGACAACTTGGGGTCATCTTCTCTAACAAGTGGGGAACCACTAAGCACTTTCAGGAGTGTTTGCACCAGTCATTTACAAGGAAACATGGTCCTTAAAGCTCTGTGGAAATGAATTTGGTCAAGCAAGACCTGTCTCTTAAAGGAAAACTTTCCTAATTTCATACTGGAGATTGGAGAAATTAGCCACGGGGTTACTTTGCCGAAACTTTCCATCCGGACTCCAAAATTAAAGCTATTCTGATGAGAATCTCAAGGATAGTCTGGGTCATATTACATAAGCCAGGTTGGATTTCAGAAAATGAAATGCCCTATTTTTATACATTGCTAATAAAATCAAGCTTGTGACTTCTCTCTGAAAATTTTAGGCAACACCACCACAGTATTGTAGCTTCTAGTGCATTTAGATGAACACTTTCTGGTTTTAGAGGGGTTCAAAGAAAAAGAGAATCATTTTATTCATCTTTTGCATTGGTAATAAAGGGCTGTTTATAGTTCACAGTATTTTTATTTCACTTTCATGCAATTTTTCTTGGTGAGTGTCTTAGTTAGAGTTCTACCATGATACACCATGACCAAAAGGCAAGTTGGAAAGGAAAGGGTTTATTTGGCTTATACTTCCATATCACTATTTATCATTGAAGGAAGTCAGAACAGGAGCTTAAACATCGCAGAAACCTGGAGGCAGGAGCTGATGCAGAGGCCATGGAGGAGTGCTGTTTGCTAGCTTGCTCAGTCCACAAGGTTGGATGTCTCAGCTGGTCTTCAGTATATGCTAGAATTTTGAAGAAGTAGTCTCTAATGCCAGTGAAGGAATGAACTTGCTAGCAAGGTGAGAGCAAACAGGCAAAGAGCAAAAGTTTCCTCTTTCTATGTCCTTATATAGGCTTCCAGCAGGAGGTGTGGCCAAGATTAGAGGAGAGTTTTCCCTCAACAAATGATCTAGATAAAGGTGTGTCTTCACAACTCAAGATCTGGATTGGAAATGGATCTTCCCATTTCAAAGTAAGCAAAAAATCCCTCCCTCATACATATGCTCCTCTGTTTTTGGGTTTTAGTTAATTCCAGATGTATTCAAGTTGACAAATAAGAATAGCCATTACCTATCCTTGGTGCATGAGCAGACTTTTTGGTGCCCACTACCTATGATGGGACACCTTGCATAGCCTTGAGGCAGGGGGAGGGGCTTGAACCTGCCTCTACTAAATGTACCTTCCCATGGGAGGCCTTACCTTCTTGTAGAAGGGAATGGAGGTGGGTTGGGAGGGGAAGGCTGGAGGGGCAGGAGGAAAGAAGAGGAGGATCTTTGATTGGTATGTAAAATGAATAAAAAATTTCTTAATTAAAAAAAAGAATAGCCATCACGAGTCAACTTGACATGCAATAATCAATTATGTCATAATTAATTTCCAAATTAAAACAATAACAAGGTCATAATAATGTCAAAACATTATACAACTATCCCATGTACAATAATTCTTAACAAAGTATGACAGAAACACTCATGTCAACTATAAGCCTCATTTCTATAACTGATCACATGACCTTAGTTGGTATTTATAACTACCTTTCTCTACCACCTATTTTTTATCTGTATTGACCCCATCCCTAGCAAGCACCTCAGTGGGTCTTGGCTCTTTTCCAGGAGGAGTGACCCATACTTTCATTCCCAAAGGGTCTATGCCCTTTGTCATCCTGGATTAGGCTGTTGTAGTTTCCCATTGACTTTAATCACAAGACATGGTAGTACCAAGAGATGTCCTGAAGGATCTCTTGCATTCCAGTGTCACGTCCGCCTCGACCAGCAAGGAAGACGCAACACCAGGCTCTTCTCCAAGCAGTTTATTCAGGAACCTTGAACAATCTTCTGACCCCGGGGAAAGCCATCTTCTGACTCCGGGGAAAGCCAGCCCACGCCCTTTATAGCCACTGGGCAACCAACCCCGTAGTGCCACGTGGACAATGCCGATAGCGTCAGACATACGCAAGCAAGCCAGATTCCACGCCCAAGCCAAATAAGGAGTTGTTTATCCCAGAGAACACCTGCCATCGGGAAGGCGGAAGCCGGACACCGGCGCCATCTTTGAGGCGCGGCCGTGCACGGCTCTCTACACTCCAGACATTATCCTTCTTACCTCCATTGTGGAGAAGCAATCCTGGAATGGGTAGCCATTCCAGCTTTGATCTGGAAGTTCTAACCCCCATTGAGGCTTCGGTAACTGTCACACTTACAAGGCGGGGTCAAGAGAGGACCCTGAAGACTCAAGATCCGGATGCTCCCGCTCTCTTGGTTCCTGGACCCTGGATGTTGGTCAAGCAGAGTTCTCCACAGAACACTGCCGGACTGCGCTACACCTTTCCCAGACCCTGTAATCTCTCCCTTCACTTGTAAGTTACCCCACAAAATAAACCTCCCTTTTAACTACGTGGAATTGCCTTAATAATTTCACCAATACAATCCAATCTCCCCATGGTAATCTGAATCAATCACCCCTCCTAATAGTATTATTCCTTTTTTAGTCTGTTGCTTTAAAGGCATCAGAAGCCCAAAGTGACCTGGGGAATGTCTGAGCTTCCAGTTCAGTGGAATATTTGTTGTGGCTTCTGCCTGAAGTGCTCCCATATCTGGAAACAAAACATCTAGGCCAGCAGAACTTAAGGTAGTGGGGACAGGAAGCAAATATTTTCCTAGTGGGTTACTAGGGGTGACAGTGAGGGGCACTATTCCTCTTTTCACTCCTTGATTACTGGACGCATGGATTCTGGCTATTCGAGAAACTGTACCATATATAGAAGAATGACTCAAAGCCTATACCACCTTCTAGAGAACCCTGTACCAGTCCCCCAGGCTACTGCCATCTAATTGACACTGTAAATGTGTCTTCAAAAAAAACCATTCCGTCTTTCTATCCAGCCAGCTATTTCAAGATGGTGAAGAACAAGGTAAGACCAGTGGATTCCATGATCATGGGTGCAATCTCACACTTTTCTAGCTGTGAAGTGAGTTTGTTGGCTATAAGCAATACTGTGTAAAATACCACAATATTGGATAAGGCATTCTGTAAGCCTACAGATGTTGATTTCAGCAGAAGTATTAGGTTCAGGAAAGGCAAACCCATAACCAGAATAAGTATCTACTCCATTAAGGACAAAGCGTTGTCCTTTCCATAGAGAAAGTGGTCCAATGTAGTCAACCTGTCATCAGGTGGCTGGTTGGTCACCCCTGGGGAATGATGCCATATCTAGGGCTTAGAGTTGGTCTCTGTTATTGGCAGATCTGGCACTCAGCAGCAGCTATAGCCAGGTCAGTCGTGGTGAGTTGAAGTCCATGTTGTTGAGTCCATGCACAAGCCTCATCTCTGCCACCATGCCTACTTTGTTATGTACTATTGGTGAAACTATTAAGGCCACTCCACGTAGTTAAAAGGAGATTTATTTAATGGCATAACTTACAAATTAAGGGATAGGTAGGTCACAGAGTCTGGGGAAGGTGTATCACAGTCCAGTGGTGTTCTCTGGAGCTCTGTTTGGCCCACCTCCACTATCCAGAGTCCCGCAACCAAGAGAGCGCCCGCCGATCCAGCTCTCGGGTTCCCCTGCGCCTCCCTTGGCCCCACCTTGTAGGCGTGACAGTTGCCGAAGTCTCAATGGGGGTTGGAACTTCCAGATCAAAGCTGGAATGGCTACCCACTACATCTCCCCCTTTTTGTCTAAATAAGAAAGTTCTAATCTAATACAAGACTATATACAAAGGAATGGTTATCAAATATTGTCCAGGAATAATGAGGGATAATGACCTAGATAAGATGGAAGTACAACCAATGCAAACAATATCAAGCAAGAAACACATACTAAAGTCCAGAGAAGTATAGAGCATAGGTAAATGGCATGTTACAAAGATCATTCCAAAAGGTGTCCTATCCTAAAGAACCTGAATCTAATACTTAATATGTTCTATCTACTAAGTTGTAACTATAACTGCTAGTCTTCAATCCCATTAAAGACCTGAGAAGGAATATATTGGTACCTGAGAAATGGTAGATGGATGCAAGCAACTTTCGGGAATTTTGCGAGAGTAGACCGAGACAGCTGGCAGCCTGGACAGTCACCTAATGTTTCTCAGCATTGTTGGTGTATTCAAATTGGCTACAGGCCTAAAGTATCTGACAGACCATTTTTAGAAGCAGGAATTTTGAAAGACCATCTTACCCTGTCTTGGCAGAGTACAGTGGTCGCTTTTCTTGTGTCCCGCTTGTCCAGAAAGGATAGCATTGTATTTGTACTGTCAGCCGTCGAGGCAAGGGCAGTTCTTTGCCCAGTAGGCCATTTTGTGCCAAGAAGACAAACTTCCAAATGGAAATGTCTTAGAAGCCCAACATTCTCTCGGGATCAAATTGGTGCAGCCAGGAGCAATTATGTCTCACATCAACAGAATTCTAAGTTATTTAAATGCCATATTCTCTAGGTCTATGAAGTGTTTGAAGATTACCTGTCCATCTGACCTATGTATCTGTAAATCTGGATAACCTAACTAATGTAACTATAGAGATGACAAGCATAGGTGACTATAAATCTTAAGTCTTATCTACCGAAATAACCTAAGGATTAAGGCTTCACGTAAACAAGGTAAACAGTCTACAAGCAAGTGTATGGTAAAGAACGATGACTTCAAAATTGTGACAATACACAAGATGTTATAACAGAGGTAGGAGTATATAGTGCGATATGTAATATGACAATAATCTTAAATATATATCGATATTTATAACAGAGGTAGGAGTATGTAGTGTGATATGTAATATGACAATAATCTTAAATATATATCAATATACCGAATATCCTAAACAGAAGTAGAACCTACATAAAGTATGACAGATATAAATTTACATTTGTATCAATATACAAATATTTCAAATAAGAGTAGAAATATATGTACATTATAACAAATATAGTTCTGTATTTGTATCAATATACAAATTATCTTAAACAGAAATATAAAAATAGTTTACATTTAACATATAACAACATATAAGAATCCATAACAGTGCAAATTACAGTGCAAATTATTTAAGGCTACTATTTTACTAAATTTGTTTACTAGTATACATAATAATCTACCATATGGCTACCCACTACAATGTACCCATAGGGCAATGACAGAAATGGCTGAGGAAAGAGGCTGACAGTCCATAGAACAGGTCATTCTATCTACTTGGTTTTTGAACTCCTCCTTAGTTGAAGTCACCTTTCAATGAGCATTTACATGGGACACAAGTATCTTCGCATCCTTCGCCCATTTGGAGAGATCTATCCACATACTTCTTCCCTAGATGTCCTTCTCACCAATTTTTAAATCATGCTTGTTCCAAGGACCTGACCATTGGCTACAATCCATGTGTCAGTGAACAATCACACATCTGGCCATTTTTCCTTCCAAACAAATAATAATAATAATAATAATAATAAATACCTCAAGGTGTACTGCCAAAGTTCTGCCCAATGTGAAGAGTTCCCTTCACTAGTATCTTTCAGGGTTGTCCCAGAAAGGGGTTATAATGCTGCAGCTGTCCATTTTTGGATGGTGCCCTTATAACATACAGAACCATCAATAAATCAGTCCCTAGTCTTTTCTTCTCAGTCAATCCATCATAGGGAACACACCATGAGTCCATAGGTACATACTTGGCAGCAGACAGCATTGTAATGGGAGTAGAAGCAATACGTATTTGGGCAATTTCTTCATGTAACTTGCTTGTGTGACAACCAAGAATAGCCATTACAGTAAATATTGCTATTGCCACTGAAATCAAGCCAGTTAAGAAGCCTGGACTTCATTACAGAAGTTGCAGGGTTGTAATTTTAACCCAAGTGCCTCCAACTGTAAAGTCTTTTCTTACTAATATTTCATCCTCCTTCCTTCTTTCCTTAATAGAACTTACACTCTCAATTTCATTTTTAATTTGCATATCTTTTTTACTTAGCATTCTGTTCTTGTCTGAAACAGTAAGTGAATAAACAATCCGCACACCCGTGCACTGGGAAAGCTCAGTTTACTTACTTGTTTAGGACACATACATACATAGCCTCTTGTTCCTCCACAATAAAGGTTAGATGGGAGACAGAGGAGTTGTGCTTTCCAATGACTCCTGTCACCCTGTAGACAATTGGCAGCAGGGGAGCAGCAGCTGCCACACTCTTCAGATATCTCTCTATTTAAAGTTCAGAGGCACAGGATAACAATAAGGAAGAAAGACGTGGCCCTGACTAAGCCACTCAACAATAGAAATAATGGCTGGAAAAGGTAAGCTGTAAGGCATGGGGGTTTCTTGACATAAACAACTTCCCGGCTTTTACTTCATTTCTTATCATTTTGATCCTAGGATGGTAGGCTCTCTGCTAAAGAACCATTAGCTATATGTTTTAGTGTGGCTGCAAAAAGCTATTAAATATGCAGTTTCTGGACCATGTCTGTATGATGAATAGTTTTGAAATGATTAGTGAAACAGAATAATTTCATACCTGCTTTTTTGGAAAGGTGAATTATAAACTAATTGTTTCTCAGTATTGAACTATATTTGAAATCTTGGGGGTTGTTGAACCAGAAGTAAGAGCAGTTGAGTTCTTTGTCAGGTCTGCAGGATGGCTGTGTGAATTTGGAGAAGTCTTCCCACTTCTTTGAGTCTGTATTATGACTTTCAAGTGAGAATACCGAGCTTAAACATCTCTGATATGCTCTAAATCTGAATTATTTTTCTCTAATTCTCAAACCTTATTTCATATTTATATGCTTCTATAAAATAATTGATTTCAATATGACTAAATAGACAGACTGAATATATCTTTGTCTGAGAAGCAGTTTTTAAATACATACACAGCAATCTTTGCTTTCAACCCTGACAACAATCAACATTGTGAGACATTCATATATTATCACCCCCATTTTCCACTTAAGGAAATGGAGACATAACAAAGTTTAGTATGTGTCCATGGTTACTAGGATATAGTGGCACCAGGTAATGGACCCAGACAGTGTTGCTCCACAGTGGAGTGCCCTAAAGAATGCTTCCACTGGTAGCCACTTTGGTAAGCTTGGAACTAGACAAACAAGAACACATTTTGAAAAGGCTCTTGCATTTAAAGAGAAGTTTTATTTGTGCCATTGATCTAGGAAGAACATTGGGTTTCATGTATTACCATTTCCAAATGATGCATCAGATTATGGTAGAACTGAAAATATTGGTGTTAAAAGATGACCAGCGCAGTTATACTTGGTTAAAATGCACAGACACTTGCACTGTTTTTACAATGCATAGCATATAAAGGGGTAATATTTTTAGAGCTTGATATGCAAATTTTTCTAAAACAGATGTTATAAAGTTTTATTAAAATACACTTGTATTTTAAACATTTATACTCAATTGGAATAGCTATTAATTTTCAGGTCCTTTGAAGTTAATTGAAGTACTGTATCACTTACATGAATAATTAAAAAAATACTGTCATGTACTTTCACTCTAATGGTATCTTAATTCACAGAAAAAAAAATCTTTCTTCCAAATGAGACTAAAGTATGTCTCATAATCTTTGCTTTAGCCTTAAAGCAACAGCACATGGCAGGTAAGGAGGAGGTTTCTCCCTTATGTGCATTATGCCTGTTTAAGGTCACACAATTAGGAGAAGCACGAAAAGCCCTTTTTGTCAGATCAGAAAGACTTCAACTTTTTATGAAAAACATTGAAACTATTAAATTTATTTAAGCTTCAGAAAGTTGGCTATTATGAAAGTATCTTCTAATTTTAGAAGTTCCTCATCTCCTGATGACTTTATTTTGATAGCATTAACCACCCTTCACTTTTGAAGTGACGGAAATTGAAATGGGACTGCAGTTGCTAAGAACATCCATCTCTCTCTTAGCTGATGGCGTGTGATCTCATTGTGCTCTTCAATTAAGACTACGTCGTCTTAGTCCTCAACACAGAGACATGAGCTCTATAAGATATTCTGTGCTGCTTTTCAATCTTTTGTGTCGGGTATACGTGTGTGTTTACTGAAAGAACAAGACTGAGATACAGTGAGCATTAGAGAAATCTGTGTATATAAATTGCTTTTTTACAGACCAGGTACAAGTAGGAGAAGAATCATTATACAAGCATCTTTCATATGTGTTGGATTATTATTGCTTATAGTGAAGCTCAGTGCTGGTGGTGATAGTGAATACTTTAAAGAAATAAATTCTTTTTTTTTCCTGATGATGATTATGTAAGGTATGATGTTTTCCTTTTCCTGTGAAATTTAAGATTAAAGTCAGTTCTTGAGACCAAGAGCAATTCTCAAAAGAGTCTAATCTTGTATATTATGAGTAATTCAGTTCAGTAGGAATTACCTCACAGTTATATTGGATTGTTGTTATATAAACAGCAGCTAGACTCATCACTGAACAAACTCCTGAGTATGTTCTGTGTCCACTAAACACAGGCAGGGTGGTTCAGGTTTGCAAAGCTTTGCACATGTTGCATCATTTGACTGAGGAATCAGCCAGGAGGTAGATACTGCAAGTTCCACTACCCAGCAGGAAACTTTAAGTTCAAAACTGCACAAGGTCATGGAACTGTAAAAAGGTGACCTGTGGTTTGAAGCCAAGACTTCTATTTCAAATATCCAGGGTTTATAACTCAGTTGCAGAGTGTCTTCCCAAGAAAACAAGATAAACCATTCATGTACGAGCCTGATCAGAGTGAGCCTTTTTTTTTTGCTCCCCCAGAGATCTCTCATTGTTTTTCTTTATAAAGTTTAATGCCAAGTGGGTCTATTTAATCTGTTTCCATTGCTTTTAAACAGAGTCAACATCACCACAGTTCATGGTTCCCATTCTTCTCCTGGTTGGATGGATTGTAGGCTGCATCATAGTGGTTTACATTGTCTTCTCCTAGAAAAGTAAGGGTTTTAATAATGGATGTTTGTTCACTGCATAATTGTTCTAGAATTGATCTTTTCTGTTTTGCTAATGAAATGTTTTGTCTTTCAGGCAAGAAGACTTCAGGCTGTTTAAGGTCACACAATTAGGAGAAGCACGAAAAGCCCTTTTTGTCAGATCAGAAAGACTTCAACATTTTATGAAAAACATTGAAACTATTAAAGTTCTTAGAAGAACTAAGAAAAACATGGACATGGCTGATCATTAAAGGTGTCTCATGTAAATAGCTGCAGTGTTTCGTATCCTTTGAAGGTAGAATTTGTTCTCATAAGAATATCTTAGGAACTTGCTGGAAATTACAGATAAAAAATATAAGAAAATTCAGGTGAACTTTTCTGTGTCAAGAAAGTTGGTGATAAATGCTTAATTATGGCTAAAAACACATTAAGCAATAGGATTGAGTATGATGATTCAATTAGATTAGAACATGTTTTGTATCCTCCTTCCCAAATGGATAAATGGACTAAAGAACTCACAATAAACAGAAGATAAAGGACAACTGAAAAACTTGGATCTTGCCCCTGGCTCAATGAGAAATGTAATTTAAAACATACTGAAAGACCATTGCTTACAGATGTGTAACAAAGAAAAATGTTGGACATCATTGGTGTTGGTAAGGCTGTGGGAGATAAGCACTTTCATACACTGTCTTTGCAAATTCAAAATGGAACATTTTATTGTTGTTTGCCTTTTGGAGAACATCTTGGTGTTGTCCAAGTTGGATTCAAAAGATCCTTCTGCCTCAGGTTTCTTGAGTAGCTGGGAATATGGGTGTGTACTATTTCACCCAGCTAGGTATAACATTCTGGGGGTATAGTTGGAAGTTCGTATCTTCCAAAACTTGTATGTTTATTTTGAACCAGTTGTTTGTTTTCAAAGAATATGTCAATTTTCACAAAGATAGCAGCAAAATACAAAATGGCTTATCGTGTAGGGGGCAGAATCAACTGTGCTGTGCACATGATATAAGAGAGATGCAACTTTAGAAAGGAATGAAAAAGGCCTTTAAATATTGATGTGATATAGTCTCCACAACAAAAACATGTTAATTGAAAAAAATTAGGTAGGCTGGAGAGATGGCTCAGCAACTTAGTGCACTGGCTGCTCTAACTTCAGTTCCAGGTAATTCAACACCCTCTTCTAGCTTCTTGGGTGTCAGGCAAGCAAATAATACACAGATATATATGCAGTCAAAATACTCATACATATAAAATAAAATAAAAATAATATGAAACATTTAAAAAGTCAGGTGTATCTACTACCATTTGTGTAAGAAAAGGAGGAGTTTAACCAATATGCATGTAACTAACTTACCACAGAGCCAAACAGTGGAGTTTAGATACTTCTGCACGTACTTTGTTTTATAGTGTTTCATTTTTAGGATAATATGAATATTTTATAAATTAGAAAAATCAATTATATCCCAAATTGAAAACAAGCTAAAAGCAACCTAATAACATATCAGTTTGGTGATTGTCTTAGTCAGTGTTACATTACTGTGAAGAGACACCATGACCAAGGCAACTCTTAGGAAAGAAAGCATTTAATTGGGGCTTGCTAGCATTCTCATCATGGCAGGGAGCATGGCAGCATGCAGGCAGGTATGGTGATAGAGAAGTAGCTGAGAATTCTACATTTGGATATGCAGGCAGCAGGAAGAGAGAGACACCGAGTCTGGCTTGGGCTTTTGAAAACCTCGAAGCCCACCCTCAGTGACACACTTCTTCCTATAAGGTCACAACTCCCAATCTTTTCAAATAATGCCACTCCATGCTGACCAAGCATTCAAATATGTGAGCCTATAGGGGCCATTCTTATTCCAACCACCCCAGTAATATAACCTAAAAGAGAAAGTAAATCTTTCATGTGATTTAAAACACAGTATATGTTCTTTACTATAAGTATCTTATGGGCTAGATAACTTAAAACCACGTTCAACTGGGTGAGGTGCAAGCACCTTTAATCTCAGCACTTAGTAGGCAAAGGCAGGCAGATCTCAGTGAGTCTAGACCAGCAAGAGATAAACAGCAAGATCCTGTCTCACAAAACCAAACCAAACCAAAACAAAAACAAAGCAGCCACCCCCAAATAAACAAGAACAAAAAGCTCAACCCCAAACAAAACCTGAGCAAAACAAACAAAACAAAACAAACAACAAACTAAAACAACTACATGCAGTGATCTTTTTCAAGTAATGATATTTATATTGTTGGTTTGAAAGCCAGACGATCGCTATATATGCCAAGTAAACGTACTTTGTATTATTAAAATTACATATGAAATATTAGCACAAATCCACTATTTGTTTTCCTTCTTCTGTAAAGTAAATAACTACCCTAGCTTTGCTCTCTGGAAAACCTACTGGGGAGAACTCCTGCCTTCACTGTGTCTGAGAGTACTGCCTCCTTCGAAGGAGTCAGGAACCCCCAGTCTAGTTTGGGGTGGGAAATACGCAAAATGACTTGTCTGATGATGTCAGTATCCACAGACCAGTTTAACTGCACTGAAAGTATTCCAACACAATGTGTGTGCCTCCTGACTGGGTGCAGTGAAAATACACAAGGACATCCAGGAAGTATTTCTGCCAAAACTTAAGCAAACAAACTTTCGATCCAACTACAAGTGTTCAAAAGAGAACCGGGAGGATCAGCCAAGCGTGGAGTATGGGAAACCATACAGAACTCACAAACCTGCTTTTCCAGCAAATAACCAATGCTGCAGCTCTGTTCATGGCAGCCAAATTACGGAAGCAGCCTATGTGTGTGTCCACATACAAATGTGTTGCACACACACACACACACACACACATTGCAGTATGTTCAGCCATAAAGAGGATCACACTTATGCCATTTGGAGGAAAATGGATAGAATTGGAGATCAAGCATGAGACAAAATCCAGATTCAGAAAGATAAATATCACGTTTTCTCAAATGTATGGAATCTGAATGTAGATTAAAAAATAAGGCATAGTACCAATAAAATGGCTCAACAGATAACTCATTGGCAAGTCTAATGACCCTTTGATTCTGGAACTCACATGTAGAAGGAAAGAACTGACTCTCAACTTGTTCTCTGACCTCCACATTGAGCCATGACAGGTACCCACACACATGCAATATACAATGCATATATATATATATATATATATATATATATATGTATATGCACATACTTTAGTATATGCATATATACACATACTTTAAAATATTTCATTTACTTTTTATTCATTTTTTCATACAACATATTTTGATCACATTTTCCCCCTTTCCCCAACTCCTCCCAGATCCTCCACATTTCCCTATGCACCCAACTTTATATTTTTCTCTCCCTTTCTCTCTCTTTTTTAAACTTTCTTTTTATTTATTCTTTGTGTTTTTCACATCATGCATCTTGATCCCATTCATTTTCCCATCCCTTCGTATCTGCCCTCTGCCCTTGCAACCTCCTCCCACAAAATAAAACAAAATTTAAGAAAAAAAAAAAAAAGGAAAAACAAATCTCATCATGGAAGCTGTAGTGTGACCCAGTGAGTCATGTAGTAAACACTTTTTTCCATGTGTCTTTACTTGCAAGTGTTCATTGCAAAGAATCATTGGTCTGGTTTGAGGCCTGTGGTCTCGACTACACTATTGATCCTGGGCCCTCACTGGGACTCCTCTTGGATATTCTGTTGTTACCTGTGTTGTGGAGATCCTGCAGCTTTTGGAGCTGCAGATGCCTTCACATACTCCAGCAGATCATAGATGGGGTGGAGGTTGGGGTAGGCCAATTTATAACCCTGGATCTGGGCCTGGGTAGTTGCAGGGTTGGTCAACCTGCCCCATCTCCTTTGTCCTCACCACTAGGGTGAGCTTTCTAGCATTGTCCTGACTAGTTCACCTCTTGCAGTGATGAGCAAGGGGTGGGGCCAGTTTTCCTGTTTTCACATCCCCAGGGTTGGCTCTCCCACACCTATACCTTCAGGACCAGCTCTACTGTGCTGCCCAGGTGAGGTGTAGGAGCCACTCTCCTGAGTGCTGCAGCTGGTGAGGGGCAGGGACAGCTCTCCTGCTCTTATTCTTATGATCTTAGGGGCAGTTCTCTTACTCACTTCTGGCATGGAGAGTCGGGAGCGGAAGAAGTTGGAGGGGAGGGGCACATACACAAACTTTAAAAAAAAATAGAGAGGACTCCCCTTTCCTCTGCCACTGTACACCACACTTATGACTGGGCTTCTTGCCATGTCTTCCCACAAGACTTTCAGAATTAACCAATTCCTGCCAAGAAACAAAAGCAAGATAGTCCTATTCACCAATGGATTTGGATGAAAATTTGTAACAATATTAGGCATAAATCCAAGAGAAGACCCTGGAGGAGAAGGAAAGATTCTTCATCTGTAGTCTGCAGGATTCACGTACTATGGCCAGACTGAGAGTTTCTGCTGAATCATGGTCAGAGATCCTACCAGATGGAGCTCAACATTTCTAACCTATGGAGATTCGGTCATGTTTGAATTCGGAGACTGATTTGCTATTATCAGTTCCACATGAGTTAATTGGTTTGTTCAGTAATAAAATGTATAGAACAGTTAAAAAAAGATGTGAGAGTAGAAAAGGACTGTTTGAGTAGAGGAAGTAGCAGTTGGAGGGAGGATGAGGGCAAGAGAAGGTAACAGGGGATTGGATATGAGCTAAGTACATCATATACTTGTATAAAAATGTCTTGATGAAACACATTATTTTCAACAATAATATATATTAATAATTTTTCCAGAGACAAAAAGTAAAAAAGCCCAGATTCCTCCCCACACCACACAAAAAAAACAAACAAACAAACAAACAAAAAAACAGGAAAGGAAGAAAAAAGGAGAGTGGGAATAAGAAACGATTCCAGAATATAAGGCTATCAGGTGAAGATGGACCAAATCCACAAACACATTTTATATTTCTGTGATAATGACATTAGGTAATTATTAGTAATTTTGTTCACTATAATAGCAGTTGGCAACAAGAAAACAATCTGGTAGAGATTTATGTGAACGACCTGCTGGGGAGGTGTTAAGTATTACCTGAATTTATTCCCACAGAAAATTAACAAAAGAATAAAGCGCAGTGTAAGTAAGACAGGCAAACTGTTGATCTTTGTTGAAGCCAAGTGATGCATTTCTGAAGATTTATTATACACTTTGACCTAATCTTTGTGTAGAACATTTTGTGCTTATTTCTTTTTATCTTCTCACTGTCACTGTTCTGAGCTGCAATTTATGCAAATAATAAAGTAGAATAAAATAACATAAAGTTAAACATGGCTGTATTCCTGAATCCTACATCCCAAAGATTCTGACTGGACAGTTGTGTCATTGGGTCAGGATTCTACATTTTTAAAATAATTGTCCCAAGGACTCTTGAGCAGGCAAATGTTTGCAAACTTGGGTTTCGAGAAAAGGTCCTCAGACCTCAGGGCTCCTCACTGCCCCATAGTCCCGTGGAGACTTCAAAGCATGGAGAGCATGGTAGTATTCTCAGAGTTCCTGATGCAGAAGAGCAGGGTGGGGCTCTGAGAACTGAGTTTCTAACAAGGTTTAGCTGATAGGCAGCTACTGGCCTGGTCAGAGCCACTGCTAGGAGAAAGCCTGGCTTCTTCGTCAGCTGCAACTCTCTCTTCCACCACTGAATTCCTCGCTCCACAGACACCAGCTTTTCTCATCAAAACTCCAGAGAACACTTTTGCTTTATGATTCTTGTCTTTCCAACTTGATTAAGTACTTCAGCATGTCGTCCTCCAAATAATATTCCACTGAAAGTCATACTTAGAAAATTGACACAGAAAATGCACATCAAATTAGACAGAATTTTTTTTTAATGGCTTGACCTGATTTTCATTTTCTTCAGAATCAGAGGTTTGCTGGGGCTACCTCTTCTGGACTTGTGAAAGTTGCTTGCTAACTGTGTGAGACAGTCATTATCTCATGGTGAGCTGGAATGTTGTTACTGTGGAGTATGTGCATCAGGGAGACAACTCCCCTGCACTGGACCTTGTGTGTACTAGGTGTGGACTAAAGATTTACCAGTCCACCATGGCTTGCATCAATTTGAGTTGTCTGCTGTACATTTAGGCATGTCAGGGCTTCAAGATGACATGTTTGTATTAGCAATCTACTGAGTTAATTAAAACGATAGTTCTCTATTTTCTTGAACTTTTTGGTGTTATAAAGCTTTTAATTTTAATTGTTTTTTTTTTTTTTGAGACATGGCCATATAATCCAGGTTGGTTTCAAACTTACTATGTAGCCAAGGATGACCTTGCACTTGTAATCCTTCTGCTTCCATTCCAAGTGCTAGGTTAAGGCATGTGTCATGATGTCTGAGTTATGTAGTTCTGTGAATCAAGTCCAGGCTTTGTGCAAGCTCTCTATCAACTGAACTACATCTCCAGCTCTTGTGTGTATAGGCTTTCAATGAAAAAAAAAATCCATGAAAGTTATGAACTCATCCAGACACCACACGTTAAAGCAGAATTGTAGGTGCAATTTCAACGTGCTCACAGACCTTCTGGAACCCCCTGAAGACACCTCAATTTACACAATGCACCTCCTCTTGAAGGCTTTAGCTTCACAATGTGGCTTTAGTTTCACATTGGAGTTAAAGACCTCATTAGTTAGCTGTTTTCCTAGCTAGAGATCAGAGGACAACGTGTGGGTGCTGGTCTTTCCTTCTACCATACAGGTCCTGAGGTTTGAACTCAAGTTATCAGGCCTGACAACTGTTGTCTTTACTCACTGAGTCCTCTTGCTTAGTCCTTTATATTTTCCTTTATTAGAGGATATTTTCAAAAATTATTATTATTTGGGAGCTGGAGAGACAGCTCAGCAATTAAGAGCACTGGTTGCTCTTCCAGACTGTTTAATTTCCAGCACCCATATGGTGCCTCAAAATGTCTGTGACTCAAATTCCAGGAGAGCCTATGGACTCTTTTGGTCTCTGCAGGCACCAGGAGAACATGTGATGCACAGACAGACATGCAGGAGGAAACAGCCAGACACATAAAATAAAATAAAATTAAAACTTAAAAGTTAGTATTTAAATATTTATTTTAATTATTATTTATTATCATCTTAAATTATATATGTGTCTGTGTATGGGTGTGTACATGTGAGTGTGAGTGCATGCCAGAGCCAGTTCCCAGAGAGCTGTAGTTATAGGCAGTTTTGAGCCACCCAACATGAATGTTGGGAGTCAAACTTGGGTTCTCTACAAGAGCAGAATATGCTCTTAAGTGCTGAGCCACTTCTCTAGCCTCTCAAAAACCGTTTTAATTTAAAAAAATATATCTACTTACAATGTGGATAATTTTTAAAAATAATACAATAAAACCAGTTAATATTTCTATTGTCTCATATACTTAAATATTTAAAATTTACTCTCAGTGCTTTCAAATACACAATAAGTTGTTGCCAGCTGTAGCTGTCATGTTATAAATAGACCTTTTGAACTTACATTCAAATGGTCTAAATGCTAGAGATGATGTGGGATAAGAGGAAAACTTATTCACTGTCAGTGGATTAAAAACTGATGCAGCCCTTATAGAAAGAATTGTGATGGTTTTTTCAAAAAGTTGAATTAGAACAGCCATTTGACCCAGCTATATAATTTCGGGACATATACTCCATGTACCACTATACAGATATAGGCTCATTCACGTTCAATGATGCTCTATTCATAATAAGAGAGGAAATCAATCTTGATGTCCATCAACTGATGAATGGATAGTGAAAATACAGTACACATAAACAGGGGAAATTTATTCCACTGCAATGAGTGTAAAAATGTAAGATTTGCAGGAAAGGCAATGGAACAAGAAAAACTACACTGAGTAAAGTAGCCAGGCCCAGAAGGACAAGCGCCAGATGTCTGCTCTCTTTCGTATTTGTGTCCTAACATTAGCTGTTTAGATTTGTGTGTTTAACTTGGAGCACCCCTAGAAGCCAGGCAAGTAGAAAAGGGCCATTGGAATGCCTTAAG